AACAAAAAAAAAAAAAAAAAAAAAAAAAAAACACATCATAGTAAAAAAAATACCTTCTCAGCTTCGCATCGAAGCTAAAAATGATATTGTTAAGATTAATATGCAATAGGGAATTTTATGATTACTATTTACAGTATATTTATCAGAAAAACTCATAATTTTTTTACATTTTTATCGTAATAGATCACTTAAATAAAAATTATAGTAATCATTTATATTTAACTTTTGGCGTTTAAAAAGATTCTACAATGGAAGTATTCAGAATTTAATTAATTTCAATAATTATATATCTAAAAAACCAATAAAAAAAAAAGTTGTTAAAAGATTTATTCAATCGAGCGTATTATAAAATTTGATTATAATTGTAAAAATCCATCGTTAAATTCAGGTGAAACTAAAAATCATTTTTTTTTTAATTTATGATTTATATAGCAACATGATACAAAAAAATTTGGAATATTATAAACTGGTAGTAGCACACACAAATAGAGTAAAAAATTAATAAATTACAAAGAAAAATTATTTACTTTTGTAGTTGAATACTTTTATCATATCAAATCTAATTCGACAATAAATACTTTAAGAATATTAGAAATTATTGATTTGAATTGTTTGTATGGAAAAAGCTGGTTAAGCTACTTTTTATATGAATAAGGAATATTTTTTCGATTTTTAAGAGTAATAACTTAAACTAAATACGAATTGTAATCATTAAACGTATCGTTGAAAAAAGTAGGTCTAGTGAGGGTTGGCAAAATAAATCATAGCCACAAAAAAACCACATAGTAAAATAATATTAACATGAATATAAATTTCTTCTCACGAGGGGAGACTATAGTGATAGGATCCTTTATATTTATTGAAGTTATTGAATCTAAATGAGATAAATATCAAATGATTTGAAAATTTTATTTTAACTCAAAAAAAATGCGAAATATTAATAGTCACAGACGAATTTGAATCTCGTACCGTAAGCATGAAGGACATAAGTGTTACCGACTCGGCAACTGTTCGTTGCTTTCGTCGCTTGATAAAATTGGCTATTTAAGCTGACCCGAATTTAAAAATTACTTTTTCGACTTTAAAAAAATAAAAAAATTTTAATAAGTTTAATTTCTTATGTCTTATGAACTTTATTCAATGTCAATTAAATTATAAAATATTCATGAAAGTCAGTGTATTGTCCTTATAAGATATTTTAAAATAAAATAAAATACAAAACCCAGGATTTTAACACAAAGATAGCATATTTTTGTATATGGTAGCCATTTGCGCATAGAAGATAGGTCGTCGGGACAAATTTTTTTTTTCATTTTATAGTACATAAAATAAGCTATTATATTATATTATATTTGATATATGTTTAAAGGACGCAGTATTTCCGGAACATTTTCAAAAATTAAGTTGAAAAAGTTAGTTTTTGTAAAAAAGTTGGTATTTTAAATCCCCCCCCAATGAGCAGGTTAAGAGTTAGATTTTCAAAAAAGTGATATCAAATGAAAGGGAAATTTCTAAGGTTTTAGTATAAAAAAAAATTATGTTGATTTGTTTATTTATGAAAAAGTTATTGAAGTTTTAAGAAAAAAAAGTGTAAAAAATGACAAAATTTACCGATTTTTAAATTTGTATTTTTTTTGGATATTTCCCCCATTTGCGGGGAACGAGGGAAAATTTTCCAATTTTTAAGGGTAATGTCTTCAACTAGGTACGATTTGTGATCTTTTGACGTATTGTTGAAAGAATTCGGTCCAGTGAGAGCTGAGAAAAAGTGGCAACAGACATAATAAAAGATATAATTATCTTTTAGCTGTATAAAAACCTTTGGATGTCTTAATAAATATAAAAATATAATTATGTCTTGTTAAATAATATCTTTTTTCACTTCTCTGTAGATATGAAAAATCATATTTTTGATTGTTTTAAATAAGAACTTCTATTTTTAAATTGATGATATGATAAAAAAAAAATATTCAAACAATTTTATTATTTTTTTTTTCTGTTTAACAACTTGCGTTATTAAAATTTAAAATTATTTTAATATTTGTATATAAAATAGAGTTTCATCAATAATTTAGTTTTAATAATACCGGAGGCAACAACAATTATTGTTGAAACAGATTATATTGTTTTAATAGACCATAAATTATCATCGTTTTTTATTCTTGCTAGAGTTATAGTCAAATCAATGGAAGATTTTACCTTGCAATAGATTTTTAAAAATTGGTAAGATTATTTGTTTAAATCTACTGATTAACCAAAAATTTTTAACTAACCTTATGAAGCCTGGAAATAGTCGTCATCTTGATTTGTAACGGTAGTATGAGAGTTTTTTTTAATAACTCATTTTAGAATTTTTTCTTTTATAATAAAATGTTTCAAATAAAAAATGCAGTGTGTGAAATAAAAAAAAAAATTAATCAGTTCTTTTTTTGAGTATCTAATGGTTGAATAGATTTTTCATACAATATATCCCCGGATACGCGTAGTCCGTGCTATACTTTAAAATGACGTTGGTCTGCTGGTGTTCTAATTATTACCTTAAAGACGAATTAAAATACTGACTAAAGGTTTTGATTCATATTTTCTATAGAACATTTCAAACAATTCGATTCGCAAAGAAGATAAAATTGGTGTAAGTATTGTAGAAGATATTATCAAATGATTTAGTAAATATTTTTCGGTTAATCAGTAGGTCAAAAAAAATATTTCTAAAAGTTAAGATAAACAGAAAAATGATTCTTCGAAAAAAAAATGTTGAGAACAAAATTTTACGTATATTTTTTTCTATTTTTACATTAAACTAAAAACAGAGGTTTTTATATAAGAAAATTGAAGTTGTTATCTAGGTTTTGAATTTAAAAAGGATTAGAAAAAGAAATTATTTAATTAAATATTATTAAAAATTTTTTCCTTTGGGAAAATAAAAATTGTTTAATATTTTCTATGAAAATGGGTGCCTGATCATTAATCTACCACTCTGTATAACTAGGAGGGCAACATCTTAGCTAATTTTAAAAATTTCCTGTATGCATCTGTATGAACTAAAATGATTAATAAATTTTACAGGCATAAATAATATAAAATAGAATTTACCTTCGTTAAATATCAAACAGAATATTAACAAAAAAAGAAATATCCATTTCAAATTCTAAAATAAAATAAAATAATCTTTTAGATTTCCATAAAGAACTTAAGTTTTAGCATATTACTCACCTCCATTTTTACTCTATGTGTTAAATTTTGAATAACTAACAATAAATTGTTGGTTACATTAGTGTATGTATTAAAAATCACCAACAAAATTTATTATTTATTGTTATATTTATAAATTTAAAAAGAGTATTATGAGTTAATAGTAAAGTATACATTAAACAAATATATTATTTTTAGTCAATCTATTTATACACAGATTAAAAGTAATATTAAATCGGGATTGGCATGAACACTTTCTTGATTTAATAAAAATGACAAATTATTAATGCAAATACAAATTTATAATTTTATTTTAAAATAGATATCAATTGCCAATTCTGAAATAAAATAAAATAATCTTTTTAATTTTAATCGAACAATTCAGGTCTAGTATATTTTTCACTTCCATTTTTTCCATTTAAGTAAAAACAGAGGTGAATAAACCACTATTTTTACTTAATGTATTGAACTTTGAATAATTTACAACAATTTCTTGGTTAAATTGGTGTATATACAGCTGTTCAGTAAGTAAGGAAACAGGTAAATTGTGACGAACGATGAGAACAATAGATACCCGTTTCCTTACTTACTGAACACTTATATAAACAATCACCAATTTAATTTATTGTTTCTTTTTTATATTTTTAAATTTAAAAAGATTGTTTTAAGCAATGTTAAAAGATACCTAAAATATGTATAATTTTTAGTCAAATCGAGATACAAATGAACACATTCTTTATTTAACTTTTAACAGACAAGGCAGGTCATCTATGACCTCAACATGTTTTATATACATTTAAATTTACCTTTCATGGATAAAAATACATTTTTATCTATGAACAAACATTTGTAAATTAAAAAATGGTATTAAATAATGATAAAAGTAAATAAAAATCTATTTGGTCACCCGTGACCCGCCTTGATTCTTGTAGTAAGAATTTAGCCTTGTCTATAATAAATTTAGTAAAAAGACTAATAATTTATTTGAATTTTTATAAGTAGATTTTATTTTGATTAAATAAAAAAACTATATTTTATGGATGTATTAATAATAAAATAGTAATTTATTTTTATAATATGAGCATAAATGTTAGTTTTCCTGGAAAATAATAATCTTTGTTTTGCAATTAAAAGTATATAAGGTGTCTTTACCAGGTTCTTTAACATTTTTTGATACTGCAAATATTTTTCGTTATTATTTTGAATAAATCATTTTTACAGTTTTGAACTACGATAAAAGCATATTTTTCATAAATCATCTTTATTTAATAAAATAAATACATTTTACTATTATTTTAAAACATCTCGATATGCATTTTAAGCTCTTTTCTCACAACATATGTTAATGATGCGATAACAACTATAATATGAATGCTATAAAATTACATTTATAAAAAATATATTAATTAAATTAATATAAAACTAAAAAAAAAAAACCAGTACAGGGGTTTATTTTTTGTGAAAAAGTTGTCATTTTAATCAAAATCACTTCATGATAAAAATGGCTACCATAATAAAAATTACGCTATTTTAGTATTAAATTTCTCGATTTTATAGTTTAAATTATTAACTTTATTATGCTATAACTTTTTGAAAAGTGTATGACTCAATATAATTCTTTTTTTTATGGATGTATGGTGTCTTTAACTATCATTTGGTATATTTTTTTTAGAAATCTGACTCTTTACCTGCATACAGGGGGGATTCAAAAAATTGAAAGAATTTCCCTCGTTCCCCGTAAATGGTGGAAAACTCCAACAAAATTACAAATTTAAAATACGCTTATCATTGAAATTTTTTCAATTTTTTTTACTAAAAACTGCCGTAACTTTTTTAAAAATAAACACATCAATATAATTCTTTTTTTTTATAGATGCTTGATGTCTTTACTTATCATTTTTTATATTTTTTTTGTAAATCTAACCCTTAATCTGCACACAGGGGGGTATTTAAAATGACAACTTTTTCACAAAAAATTTACTTTTTCAACTTAACTTTTGAAAGTGTTCCGGAAGGTCTGACACTTTTATATATATACAGAGTGGCCCACCACTCACTGACAACTTAAATAACTTTTGATCCAGTTAATATTTTTAGTTGATTTTTTTTTTAAATAATAGTTAGACGTTAGGTCTATAGCTATATCTCAATAATTAATTTTTTTACATTTTATTAAAAATATTAATTATTTTTAAATTTTAAATAAAATGTAAAAAAAAAATCTAAGATAGCTATTTTGTAGAGTAGAATTTAAGAAAAATTTTAGTAAAAAAATAT